ATATATGTGTAATATATATATATATATATATATAAAGAGAGATTCGTTTACTCTATATAAGTCATGTTTTATATCAGATTTTAACGATCTAATTATTAAACTTAAAGTTATTAATGTACAGAATAAATTTGTAAATTTTAAAAAAAATTAAAAATCATTTGATACTTCGTTTCATTAATTCTAATTGATAGATAATCTCATTTAGGTATATTTACTCCTAAGTAAATAAATCATTCTTTATATATATTAGTATTATGTTTTACATAAATTATTATTATACTTTTTATTATTATTATTATTATTATTATTTTACTACATTTAGTACATTATATGCGCTTATTTAAAAAAAATTAAAAGAAATTAAACTTAAATAAAAGAAGGCCTATCAAACTTAAACAAAAAAAAAAAGACAAAACAGTTAAAACGTTGTGTTCGTTGGACCAATTTTCTAAACTCAAATCCTTTCTTATATTTATCCGTAGGTGCGGTCATACGGAACGCAGCTTCTTAATATTGATAGGAGTTTCGTAGTTTGCTTAGTACATGGAAGTGACAACCTTCAAGTTTCAAAGGTGCGTGCTTTTGTCAATGCTTCTTCTTAACTGTGATTTTCTTGTGATTTTCTTCTGTTAATTAATTTTTGTGTAACCCAAATTGGCATAAACCATGGAACTAAACTCAAGTCTGTTATTATAATCCAAAGCTCTAATTTTTATTTTTTGTTTTTTGTTTTTCAGAAAAATCCCTTCCAAGGCATTTGTTTGATTGTGTTAAAGGTTGGCTGATTCTATGCGGTGGTTGGCTTCATTTGATGAGAGAAAATTGCGCTTGTTTAATATTAAATTAATTATTTTCGAAGTAATTTTTTAAAAAAATTTAATGTTATAAAAAATTTTGTCAGGTTTTTAGGTAAATAAGAGAATGACCGCTTTCTTTTTGATTGAAGGATTTGATGGAGAGGGATATGATTTTTTAGGAAGTTAAGAGAGAGAGATCATTCCCAAATCTCAATCCATTACCGATAATTTTGTTAATGGGTTTTGAGAGAGATAAGAGGTTCATAATCTGATCTTATGTTTTATACTTTTTAATTCAATCCATTGCAGTGGTCACATTTCTGTGTTCTCACACTACATAGCCAGCCACAACCCTAAGCTTCTGTTCCTACACAAGCTGGTTAGTAAAAGTTCCCTATATTTTATTAATCTTAATTGCTCTGTTCATCAGAATTCAGTATATTGTAAATTTGTAATTTCTAAATTGTGAGTTGTAAATTTTACTGATCTCAATTGCTCTATTGTAATTTGTAAATTTATGATTTCTATGTTGTTGATCTTAATTGCTCTGTTGGAAATGGGAACTGGGAAGTATGCTATTTGAGTCTTGGAAATGGTTTCATGGTCTGGATTGTACATTTTTATATATAGCTACTTAACGCGCTGGAAATTAATGAAGTCAAGTGAAACAATAGATGAAGATGAAATCATAGCTGGAATTATATATATTCTTTCATTTTTAATATCTAGGAAGAAAAAGTATTGTAGGATGTTATTAATGTTGTTTTGGGTATGTATTTGACTATTTTTTATTAGTCTTTTGAAATTGGTTGTTTGGTTGAGATCATATGTAAAGCAATCTGGGAACTAGATTGAAGAATTTGGTGCTCTTTAGTCAATAGTCAATACCAAGTACCAACCTTAATTGAGCCCAAATAGCAATCCTTTCCACCAACCTCACAATCTTAGTTCTATTTTGCTTTTATAATAAATTAATAAAATTAAAATTTATAACTATATGTTACTTTTTATTTAGTTTTTAATTTTACTATTATTTAGTTTATTTTATATATATGTGTAATATATATATATAAAGAACGATTCGTTTACTCTATATAAGTCATGCTCTATATCAAATTTTAACGATCTAATTATTAAACTAAAAGTTATTAATGTACATAATAAATTTGTAAATTTTAAAAAAAATTAAAAATCATTTGATACTTCGTTTCATTAATTCTAATTGATAGATAATCTCATTTAGGTATATTTACTCCTAAGTAAATAAATCATTCTTTATATATATTAGTATTATGTTTTACATAAATTATTATTATACTTTTTATTATTATTATTATTATTATTATTTTACTACATTTAGTACATTATATGCGCTTATTTAAAAAAAATTAAAAGAAATTAAACTTAAATAAAAGAAGGCCTATCAAACTTAAACAAAAAAAAAAAGACAAAACAGTTAAAACGTTGTGTTCGTTGGACCAATTTTCTAAACTCAAATCCTTTCTTATATTTATCCGTAGGTGCGGTCATACGGAACGCAGCTTCTTAATATTGATAGGAGTTTCGTAGTTTGCTTAGTACATGGAAGTGACAACCTTCAAGTTTCAAAGGTGCGTGCTTTTGTCAATGCTTCTTCTTAACTGTGATTTTCTTGTGATTTTCTTCTGTTAATTAATTTTTGTGTAACCCAAATTGGCATAAACCATGGAACTAAACTCAAGTCTGTTATTATAATCCAAAGCTCTAATTTTTATTTTTTGTTTTTTGTTTTTCAGAAAAATCCCTTCCAAGGCATTTGTTTGATTGTGTTCAAGGTTGGCTGATTCTATGCGGTGGTTGGCTTCATTTGATGAGAGAAAATTGCGGGGATGGTTGTTTGTCTCAATTGGCTCTATTTTCTTTGTTGGGTATTTCTTTGTTGTTGTTATTTCCAAGCTTCTCCCACCTTCAAACATTGCCCTCATTTCTGCGTTGCAAAATGACTGGTAATTAATTAATTAATTAGTCCTGATATTGAGATGTGATTCTGTAGGTTTTTACTTTCATGTCAATGGTTTTTCAACATAATTGTCGTTTTTGGGGAGGGCATAATTTAGGGTGTAGAATGTAAGGGCATGAAATTGCAATATGTTCTGTCATGGGTTTTTGTATAAATTGTTTTGTGTCGTGTGATGATGATAATGGGTATGTTAATGTGTTTAATGAAAATGTACTTCCTGATAGTTTGATGATGATAATGGGTGTGTTACTGTGTTTCATGAAAATCTTACCACACACTGAGAGGTTATAGTGTGTTCATTCATGACAAGATCTGATTTGGTTGGTTTGGATTCTTTGGAACATGGAATGATTTTTCTGCTTACGCAAATTAAACACCTGAATTAAACTGGGTTGTGTTCTTGTCATGTTGTGTATCTGTAAAGTTTTGAGGTTTGCTCCATGTTTGTGTCTGATTGTCTTGTAGATCTCTAAGGGTAGAAACAAAGTTTATTTTTAGGTATATATGAAAATCGGAACGAGAT